CACGTTATATTGTCAGCGTGGTTATAGAGCTCCGCAGATTTTCAGGAGCTGATAGGCGTTAGCTACAGTTCATTATCTAAAGTAAACAGCTAGTTAGCTTACAGCAGAGAGCTTCTGCAAGGTTGTGTTCGACAGAATACAGAAATAGACCAAAAAGTGAGTGTATCCCCTTAGCTGTTACACTTGAGTGTCTCCTGCCTGTGTTCATACCTCCAGGACTTACTTTTGAGGATACACAGGTTCTCTAGACTCCTTTCATTTATACATTCGTTATCTTTAAATGGCTCTTGCTAGACCATGTAGCAATGGTTTCCCAATCGCCACCAGCTGACGTGGAGCAGTACTGAGCAAATGCTATGCTGCTGGCAACAGCATACTTCTCTCCTTCAGCGGTCTCAGCCTTTATTTAATTTCCTCAGGCAGCAAGCTATGCATATGAGGAAGATGGACTCCGCCACCAGCACCGTTAACTTCTGATGTCTCTCCTTGGGCTCTAATGAGAGACGGTGCCTTCGCAGCACAGCCGTGAGGAGGCGAGTGCCCTGTTCCACAGGGACACGGGAGAGATCCTGTTTTTCTACGGCCACTCGGCCCCTACCTCTGCACTCAGCTAGGTGGGAGGATCACCCCCCAGGATTACTCGGCCTGGTGTGCTTTGCACTGCAGTCTGTTCCCTTTGCTTTGGTCAGGCAGGATGGGGTTTTTTTTTTGAGACCTCCAATACAGCTTGGTCCCTGAATTTTGAGGTTGCCCTGGATCCCCACAGGCCCTATGAACCATAGATCGCTCGGCATCTGAGAGTTTTCTTTCCTGTAAACAAAGTATTCCTGGATCTGGTTTACAGGCTCGGGCAAGTTCCCTTCCCTAGTCTTGCCCTACCAGTGGGATGGATTGCCAGTGCGTGTAAGTCTTAAGTACAAGATTCATGCTCCTGACAAAGGAAAGGGGTGATGGAGCCTGGCATTTAGAAGGAAAGTTGTTACAAGGAAAGCCAGGTATCATAAACATACATTGACAAACAAGGACGCTGCCGTTAAGCTGCTCAAACAAGAGGGGTGATGGTTACCATCCGATAGCTCCCCGCGTTGTCTTCCTGGGGTGGGTTTTGAGAAATGTCAGCGGTAGCTCAGCATTTCCCTTTGTGGGGACGGGATCTGGTTCTGGGTGGTTTCCACACGAGGTGCTTGGCCGGCTCTCCAGCATGGGGGGCTCTGTCAGCTGCAATCCCTGGGGAAACGAGCCGATGATCTGAAAGCCCCCCCATCCCTGGAGCTCTGAAACAGTTATATTGGGTCTGTTGTAGTTTTAAGCATTCTGTGAGTCGCACCTTGAAAGAAAATAGGGAGGCCTAAGCATTTTCTGATCCAGACAAGTGCAGACACCTACAGGAGATCACGTACCAAGCCTACAGCTCCTAGGAGTGCCACTAACGTAAGCGATCTCAGCAGCACGCTCGGCTCCTGCCTGCCAGCATTGCTTGTTTGAGATATCAATGCTATAGCAAGTGCTGGGTAAACAAGATGATGGTTTCTGCCGGATGATCTTAAAGCCCTCCTGACTGTCTGCTCAAAATACTTTTCCATTTCAAGGAAATGACTACTTTGTTTGTCTTAAGAGTCAGGAATGGGAAATGATGTGAATGCTTAACTGTTTTTCCTGGTGTTTTTAAGAGGAGGCATGTTCACTGGCCTGGGTCTTACTTCCAAAGGCATTCAGTGTTTGCCATAACCCTATTAAGTACTAGAGGTGTGTGCATGCATACACACCGAGAGATATATCTCTATATATACACACCCCCCAGAAAATACCGTATAAACCTTGTGTCTTCACCTGGTAAAATGTTACTGGTGCCTCCCTGTGACCATGCTGTAACATGAGTTGCTGCATTCCCCCTCACAGCGCTGAACTGAAACTGTTCCCAGGTCGTTTTCCCAATGCTGGACTAAACCTGTGATTATACAGCGTGCTGTAATCTCCCTGAAGTAGAAAGAAGGCAAAACTCACGTTTGTCGTGTATTTTGCCCAAGCACCAGGTTTTTTTCCCCATCTGCTGAGTTACACTGTGCATTTTATCTTTTTTTATCAGTGTATTGCTCCTCACTTGCCCTTGAAAAAGAAACAGTCCAATGCAATACTGATTTTAGTTGCCAGTAACTTTTTGTTTGGTCAAGGTGTTTTTTCTTTACTTGAAAACAAACGCTGGCAGCCTGGGCCTCTGCTGTCCTGTAATTGCACTTCCCGAGTCTTGCGTGCGCACCGTCCTGCTGGACAAAGGCATCCAGGCTTGGCTGCAGCGACTCAGCTCCTGGAGGTGGGATTCCCTCTCTTCTGAGCTGCTTGCAAGTGCCTAGCAATGATCCTGGCCCACGACTGAAAGCCAGGATATGGAGGGGAAAAAAAAAGGTTTGGTTGTTTTTTGGGTTTTTTTTTCCTTCATCACCTTGGGCCTTTAAGACATTGTCTTTGCATGAAGTCCTGCGACTCTTGCCCACGTAGGTATCGTCATAGCAAACAGCCAGGCTCACGTACCACGTGGCAGTTTTATCTCCCGAACTTGTGTTCAATTCCCTCGCCCTTCCTCAAGAAGAGGCAAGCCAAAACACCTCATGAAGACCAGAATTAACAGCGTAGGTACTAAAGAGTAGCAGCGAAGGCACAAGAGTGCAGCTCTACAGGGGCGGGCAAACACCACAACCCGTGCAGGAGCTCGGTGTTGGCAACTGGAGGCGAGCACGGCGGCTGCAGCCCAGGGGCTGGGACACTCCGGTCTCAAACCAGTCAGTTAACTTTTTTTTTTTTACAAATGTTAATGTTTGTTTCTGTATCATAGATGACACAATCTCAGTTCTTCTCGGAATCAAACTAAAGTAACATTTTTATTGCCCTATATTTAGTTCTGTTACGTATAAGCAAAAATGTACAGTGATTAACAACTTGAATTCAACCTTTCTCCTTTTCTTAAAAAACACTAATTTCTGCATGGTTTCTTTGTATTTCCATGCACAAACAGAAAAGTGACCCATAACATGCAGGGGGAAAGAGAGTTTAATTTCAAAAATGTTTTTTATAGCGATCAGAACGTATTATATAGAATTCTTATAAAGATTTGTGTGTATGAATCAAATGCTGTAGAAATATTTTTAAACTTAACATCTCACCAATGAAACATCAAATGAAGGGAGCCGGTTGTTATATGAAACAAGATAAATGTTCACCTAGAATATAAACCTGGAATTTGAACAGGAGTTGCTGATACAAAAGAAATCCCCCTCCTAGCTGGGGGCGGGGGGAAGGTGTAGAGGAATGTCTGTGTTGCTATACTTAGTTTGGTCTCTCAAATAGAAAAAAAAAAAAGCGGAATTTTTTATTAGTGTGCAGCGCGAGTTGCACTTCTGTTAATGCCACTGGGTTCATGTACGGCATGCATCCCTACGAAATGAAAGGATCTGGTTATAGAACTTGGCTTTATTGTCTACAATTGTGATACAAAATGGCTGCTGCAGAAATTATTTCCCCAGGTAAGAAAACGAGCACTCAACGATAGATTTGTAACGAAGTAAGGAATTTGAGAATTATTTCTTCTCCTAAAATCCATGGTTTATTTCATAGTTTCACTGATGGAATTTTTCATTTTCTTCCACGATTAGTCATGACTCCCGTCCTTCTGGTATGTATACAGAAGTGTTAGGCGCCAGCCTGAGCATGTACAACCACAAACCAAATGAAGGTTTTACATAAGACAGTTCGCTTTTATAGTGATCACACACTGATGTGAACATAGACTAAAAATAACAAACGTTGCTTTAATAAGGATTTTTTACAGTAGGCGTAAATATAAAAGTTTTTCAAATTATTTTCACAGGTATCACTGAACATTTCATAGCTGTCTGTTACAGAAGCACCGAAAAGTGCTTTGAGTCTTTCGTTTATTATACATAGTTAAAATATATTACACTTCTGAAGGTATCTTAAATCACTGAACAGTTTTGCTAGCATCTTAATGAGCCAAATGGGAGTAAAAGGCAGTCCACATTCATGATGTGAATATACAGTAAGGTGTTTGACATCCTATTAACTCATTGCTCATGTTCTCAAAATAACCATGGTGATGAGACCTGAAAGAGAAGAATTAAGAACTAAATGCTTTAATTTCACTGAATAAAACATGTAAAATAAAGACAGTTTACCCTGTCACAGGCCAGAAAGTAACGTAAAAGTGCATAAACACACCCAGAGTGAATTTATATAAACGCTTCACTTAAATATTGGAAGTACTCTGAATTTTGATGTAGTCAAAATCTGCGTAACAAGGACACTGAAGTGCAGTATATCCAGCAACTAAACTTCGAAGAAGCTATAAATACTCCAAACATTTATTGATCTCGCTACTAGAAAGTCTTAACATTGAGATTTTGACTGGGGTAAGCGTAACGCCAGCACACAGGCCAGCAGTTTGCACGGGGGCTGCTTATGGGCTGTGCAATTCAAATGCTGAATCATCAGTAAGGCAGATTAGCTGAAGGCCCCAAGACATTTTTGTTTCTGCTCTGTGCAGAATAACTGATCAAAGAGTAGTTTTAGACAAAGATGTTAAGCTTCCTTGTCAGTCTGCATTGGGAGCTCTCTACAGACTCTTTGTTGTGACCTTTAAAGAGGGAGAGGAAAGAAAAAAAAAAAAGAACTGCTCTGATAGAGGTTAAAAACAATTAAAAACAGATGAAAGCAGGAAATGTGGGGCTAATAAACCTATTCATGCCACACTGAAGAGTTCACTTTGATTATGTGCAGATACCAGAATAAGTACAAATCTGCCAGTTCTTAGCTGTGAGTTATATTGCACAAGGCAGAGAGGCACATGGAAAAACATTAGGGCTCCTTCAACTCCCACCTGATGTAACATCAAAATAGTAGTTTATCAGTTCTTGGGCAATCTGACTTTCTTGCAGGCTCAGATGATGCTAATATGGTGTATATATGTGTGTATATATATGTGTGTGTGTATATATATATATATATATATATATATATAAAACAGCCTTTCACTGCAGAGAGCTTAGCTACAGCCTACAGAACTCACCACAGATAAGGAAACTTCTGAGACTATTTTACTGTCCTGCCACTGCATACTGATTTAACTTATTTACTTTGTAAAGATAGAAGCACGACAGAACAGACTTGTAATGCTGCCTTCCATTAAATGAGCAATTTATCCATTAAAGAGGAATTATAGTTCAGCTATTTCTTAAGGTCTGTATTAGCTTAGACAATTAGGACTACCAGAACTGCTGCAGGCCTTAGCTTGGATTATCTAAATCATTGCAGAGCAGTAACAGAGGCTTCTGGAAGGTGCTACAGGACAGCCTATGCCGCCTGTATAGGGACTTCCAGGCAACAAAGAGTTTAACTCATTTCTGCAAAGCAAATACTCCTCAAATGTCGTACAGCCCAGCTGATGTGGTATTGACCTCCCTTTTCCATCAAACGCTACACAATCCAGTTGTACTTGGTTGTGGAAGAAAGTGGTTTCATCTTCTCAAGGGCAATCAACTCTCTAGATGAGCAAGAGTTGCGTAGAGAAGAAGAATCTTTTCATGAACACTAGAAACGCTGCTATCAAAGGAATCAAAGCTTGCAAGAACTTCACAGTGAATCCAGAAACAGCTAAGTTGTTGCAAACGTATGAAGTGAAATGGTTTAATACCATAGCTGGCACCAGCAGACACTGGAGTCATTTTCAAATGACTTTGATTTTAGAGATAAAAACAAAGCAAGGATTCCTGCAAGGTCCTGATCTGAAAACATATCACCATCGGCTCAGGCAAAGACGTAGGGTTCTGGTTAGCAACGAGGGAGTTTTCAGACCATTTCAGCAGCCTGACTTGCACGAGTCAGTCAGTCAACTGAGTGTGTGCATTAACCATCAAGAACTTGCATCTCTTCCCATCACTACCTCACCTCTAGCTATCAGTTTGAAGCTGCCTAGCTTGTTTCCTTTAAATCCTCATTTCTGCCAGGTAGTGGGACAGGAGAATTGAGTTTAGAGTGACTGTTCTTCAAATCTGAAATAGTTATAGAAAAATAGTCATAACAAATGAAATGTGCAACTTATCCATACTTGCTAATTCAGGAGCAAGTTACAAATCGGGAAGAACTGTGGATGGTAGTGGTCTCTTAGGAGGGGTTTACAACAACGTATTTCTACACATTTCAACTGCTTATCAACAAGGTAGCGAATGGAACTTTTCAAACCAGCTCATCTGGGTTGGAGAGAGAAATAAAATAACAGAAGAGATCTAGGTGCTGCAATGGAGTAACTCCGTTTCAATGTAAGAATACGGAACAGCATATTCCATTCAATTTTGTTGGTAGATGACTCCAGTTGGCCAGTCATCAAACAAAGGTGAAATTAACATGTAGGGGCCTGTATATAACAAATATCAACTAAAATCTCGTCTAAAATACTTGCAGTAACTAATTTATGCTGGTATCACTATGACTGCAGGTTAAAATGTAAGTAGAGATGCAAACCAAAGTGTAACGTGGTGCTTTGTCTCCATCACGTTTCCTGAAGCTACTGGCAAACACAGGAGAAGTATCCCAAATCACAGAAGTTGCAAGAAAACAAAATCCAAAATACTTACCTAAAACATAAGCAGCTACTAACTTTTGATTCACACTTAAGTGGAGGTAGAGAGGCACCAGGGATTCCATTTCCCCCAATGTAGGTAGCATTAGTGCTGCAATACACACTATTCCTAGGAAGACTGTTAGTAAACTAGGTCCCGACGAGGCAGTTCTGTTTTCTGAAAAACAAGGTGGTACCAATTGTAAGGAATAGCTACCCAATAGAACTGTTTAATATTCTTCAAAAATGTTAGCGGTACGCCAGAGCTGAAATACCCTGAGATTTTCTTTTCCCTTTGGAGGGGGTGGAAAACAACGCTTAAACCCACCCTCCTGAATCTTTTGCATTTTGCAGTGGAGAAGGCTGCTCCCTGTTCTGATGCTGGAACTTGTTTTCACATGACTTCCCAAACCCCTCCCTTCTGGAGGAAGGGAGCCTGCCAGGCCCAGTAGCTATATATACACACTCATGACAGCTGGATGTTTCAGCAGCACTTGAGGTTTCACCATGCATCCTGACTCCATTCCTTGATGTGTTCCTTCAGTGATTAGTAATCGATTAGGAAAGAGCACCTAAAGGAGCTGTGCAGGCAGATGACTCTGCTTACACCTCCAGAACAAAACCTGGCTACAGCAGGAGCACAGGTTCTCAGGCCAGATGCATTCTCCTCCTTTCTTTAGAGGATTCAAGGGCTGCCAGAACCAGTTTAACTGTGCCACAAATTAGTATATTTGAATCTTACGTTAAAAGCTGAGAGGGAACCATTCTGACCGTCCAGTATCATCAGAACAAGGAAATGCAAACTATAGATGAACCATCCTTCACACTCTTTATTGTGCTACAGTTTACCAGCTGGAACCTACTCAAAGGCACACTGTGTAATCTTTGAAAGAGCTGTTAACATGTTTGTTGAATACCTCTAACCAAATTCTTAAGACCCATTGGAAATTAGCCCATGTTTTTATCAAGTTTTTCTATCCTCAGTGACTAGCAGTATGTGTCCTATTTTAGTTCCATAAATCTGTTATTTCTAGGTTGCAGGTTATATGCAAAGAGTGTAGTTGCTTTGTTTACTGGTTTGTTTTTTTTTTTTTCTGTAAGCAAGCAATATAACGTAGTCAACAAGGTTTTTAAGCAGAGAAATAGCATTTGGATTAAGACCAGTATTGGATTGTTCAGGATGGTTCAAACTCTCTGTACTGGAACAACTATCATAGTAACATTTTGTTCTGTGAGCCTAAAGATCTTGTAGGTTTGCTTTAACCATGCTACTAATACCTATCTTGAGGGTTTTTTTAGTAAAAGGTGTTTTGCACCAGCCAACAAACTATGAATAAATAGTGAAACAGCTTGGTTTTAACAAAAGGAATACTCTCAAGCAGGTTCATCTATTTTCTGGAATCGATTTTTTTTCTTGTCATGCAAAATAAAACAGTGACGAATATTATACTATAAATCAGTAAAAATAACAAGAAGGTTGACTGTCAAGTCGAGAATCAGTTTAGATTCAGTTCTGGTAAAACTTGATACTTTTTGTATCTCCCCCTCCACTTCAACTTAACTGTTCAGTCCAGGTTTTGCCCAAGGCTGTTGATTCACTTCCTCACATATGAAACGTGCAAAGGGTTTTCAGCTAGCGACTGTGCTTTTCTGTACTTGTGAGACAGGCAAATGAGATGGCGCAGAACAAGGAGCACTTTAGAAGAGTTTTTGGCAATATTTCCTGCTCATCACAAAATGGAGGATTAAGGGTTTGGAACAAACTCAGAAGGGGCATATGTTCTGAAGGAGCCCAAGGGAAAAGGCAACTACCATCCTTTTGCAGATAAATTCCCCTTGGCTGTAACAGAACTTCTGCACCAGAGGGACAGAGGATGTATTCTCCAAGGTACAACGTGCAAACCTGGGGCAGCAAAGGGTCTTGATTAATCAGCAAAAGCAGAATAGCCATAGTTTGGGTTCTGGAGTGCTATCATTTGCCAGTGATAGAGACAGCAGTCTTACAGGTAAGTAAAAAGAATTATTTAAAAATTTATTTTAGTCTAAGCTTTCTAGGCACTTGAGCTATTCATAACTGATTCAGAAGACAGGAGGGGTAAAAAATTTCAGCTACCTGGTTGACACAAAGTCTGCTCAAAAAAGACACTTTCAGACAGGTGTTCCTTTATTCGTTTCTCCTCCTCTTCCTTTTGTTGTTGTTGTTCCTTTGCAGATGGAAGTAGAGTGGCAATAATCTCCTTTTTTCCTAATGCTTTCCTCTGGCTCTGCTCAGACACTTGTAGACGGAATTTATCTATCACACCATAGTAAGAAGCCCGAACATCTCTGTGACGAATCACACTGCAGAGGAAAACAACCTTTTCAGACAGAGGAACTAATAAAAAGCATGTCTGCTGTGGAATTACGCCCTACATCCCAATGTTCCCCCTCTTTTCCCCATACACAGATACACTGCAATAATACAGATCCCCATTCCCTCCTCCAGCACCCAATGTTCTTGAAGATTTGATCTTGCCTTCTCTCTCTGTGTTCACACTGGTTCTCAAATATATCTGCTCCAACTGGCTGGCCAAAAAGAACAGTTAATTATTTATCTCAAGCACAACTTTGCCTCAATCTGAGGCCTAGCTGCCAATTTGCATGAAACATCAATTATCTGAAAGATGCCTCCTCCTTTATCAAAGTTGTTTGATGCTGGCCAATGATTTTAAAAGGTATGAGAGGACTGGAGTGGACAGGGAAGGAAAGAAGAAAAGTGAGACTGCCAAACACTTGGACAGATGATGGCAAAATCTACTTTTTTGAGGAAACCAGGCTCAGAGCGCTTTACAGTTATACTTTCTCAGAAGCAAAACTCATTCCCTCTACATTGAAGAGTCGGCTAGCTGTAAAGATATTTTCAAAATCAGAAGCCCACCATTAAGAGCATGTAGCAGTGCAGTAAAAATGACAACCATGTATCTACATAAACATTTCTCACCCGTCTTTTCGGTGAGTAAATCTGGGTATCAATAGTAGAGCTCTGTGCTGTCAGAGCTTCGCTCATCAATCTAGCTACCTTCAGCATGTCTCGTGGCCAGCACTGAAACGCATGTTGCTGCAGATACTCCACTAGCTACTACACCAAGAGCTAGGCCAGGTGTAGCTACACAGGCTGCAATCACAACTCGGACTGCGGTGCAGGCATACTCTCTGAATTACAGCTACAGAGTCAGTTATTTTCTTAGTAAGCCTTCTTGCTGTGCAGCAAGCACTCTGTGGCTCTACTGTTTTGAATATGTTGTCCAAGAAGGCTTCAACAGTAAGACAGGGTGATTGTTGTTGCATTCCTTCTGGTTTTACGGCATTTTATGGGGAAAAATTGTATGTGGGACGTACAAAAGGCACAGTTTTAAAATAGCACTGATCAAAGGCAATACAGACCTCTGAGCAGAGCTCTGCTCAACTGCCTCCTCTCTCTGAATTTATGATTCATTATGAAAATACGTATCTAGCATTAAAAAGCTTTAACATCTAGGTTTTAAAGTCGTATCAGCTCTTAGGGTTAATACAGAATGAATTTATTTTTCCAAAGTGGAAAACTTTTTTTGTGAAAGGCTATTCTAAATTTCTAAGATAACAATAGCTAATCTGAAAAAATACCTACATATAAGTGATTTGGCTCCAGGCAGGTTGCCATCTCCTAAGGGGAAAAAAATGATTCTGCCCTTAGTAATACAGGATAGTAGTCTTAAAATTGCTTCAAGAAACCTATCGTTGTGATAATGTATACATTAAACTGCTGCAAGAAACAGATTTTTGTGTTTCGGTCCTCATTTAAAGGAACTATATCACATCAAGATATCTACAATCATTAACACATAGCCAGTGCTTGTAACTGGTATCTAGTTTGAATGGATGATTCAACAAGGAAACAGAGACTAAGTCATCCCCCAGGCAAGAAGGCTGCAGGAACGTACATAATTTTATGTCACTTTAGAGGCAAAAGAGTGTGCTTATGACAGGCTTCCAGCAAGCTGAGTGTTGGCTGGGCAACTGCCTTCACTAAAACAAAAGGCTTTTTCCTCCCCGACAATCCTAAGTCATACAACTCGCAGCATATCAGAACAGCAGATTCAACTCTTCTTTCTTCCTTTAACTCTTCCTTTTAGATTTTTGTTTCTACTCTTAGCACCATGGTACTACCAACCTAAACAGAATCTTTACATAACACTGTGCTATGAGAACATGCGTCTGCTGCCAAGCAAAGAGATGTTTTCTGCAGACCCTTATAAACAGATACATTCTCCTGTTTCTTTTTAGAGACCATTGCATAATTGGAAGCTCTGTAGAATATCTGTTTATCTGGCAAATGGCCATACTTGCATAGTACTGCTCATAGCCTAGCAGTAAACACTTAGACAGCAACCATTGGAATGGGATGTGGGTTTCGCTGCACAAAAAAATTGCCTTGGAAACATGCATATGGTCTTATTTTCCTTTATTTAATAAGAGACATTTGTTTAAGATGAACCAAATGTAATCAAGCTTGTGTAAATGCCTGCTAAAGACTGGAATAGCTCACTGATAACACTGGTATATTCTGACCTGTTTTGCTCCATTTTTAGGATTGTTGCCCCTGCCCACTGAAAATTTAAGTTCCCTGTTTTAAACTTCCTTTCTATTTGGCAAGTCCTTGGAATTTTCCAAATTACACCTAAGGAAAACAGTCTACAGGAAAGAGCCATTCCCTAAGCACAGTATCACTTCTCTGACAAAAGACGGATCGTTCAATAGCAGGGTGTTTTATGTATGGCCATTTGTTAGCCAGAGACTCCAGAGGGTGTTTTACAGTTTGCAAATTTCTACTCAGAAAGCGCAGTCTGCTCTTCAGGCACTGCATGCTTTCTTCAGCTGTATCTGTACATCAGCACAGAAATAATGTGGCAAATGGAAGATGAGAAAAATTGGGCTATTTTAGCTTATGTATCTACTCTACTTTGAATTATAGCAGCCTACAGACCCTATACACTTAACCGGCCTTCGTCTTTTCTCTGTTATTGGGTTGGGACCTGACAAGAGAAACAAGTAAAGGGGAGACAGTGAGATCTGAGAACAAGAGAGGCGGTCGGGGTGAGAGGTAGGCAAAAGCACCTTTATTAAACATGGCCCAGGAAAGCGTGCTCAGCAGAACTGCATACACTTTCATTTTGCCCATCTGCAAACAAATGCTTCTCACAAAGAAACCCAACTGCGGGGGTCTTGCTTTTCTTGTTAGAAATAACAAAAAAGCACTCAGAGGAGGCTCATATTACTCTCACTGCTGGTTTACAAACTATACTTACAGGATGCATTTACTAGCATCTTATTTATGCCTAAAGACTAAATTAAAGAAGGAAATATCTCCAATATTGTAATATCTCTGCCCTAGGGTGAAAGAATAGCAAAGACCAGAGGGCCACAAGAATATAAGAGATTAGGAAAATATTGTATCTTTATCCAACTTAGTTTATACTATGCATGCTGTCATTTACAACATCTTAAATAATAAAAGAAATTAAGGTAATCAAGTGTCATACATTAGAAAAAAAAAACCCAAACAACTTTTACTTACATATCAACACAGCACTGAGGCTTCACTGCACCAGTAGCATCAACCACCGCATATTTATTTGGAGTTGTACAAAGAACTGCAACAAAAAGGACAGTAGCGGTAACAAATCATGAATCAATACCTCACCAACTTCATCAACAGATATACGTGCAGACACAAGTTTGGTTTTGTCACAAATATGATTTATTACATGAATTATAATCGGACTGTTCAAGATCACCAACTAACCCTTAAATAAACTTAACCTAAGAAACCCACCTTTGAATTTTAAGGCAAACTCATAGGGGTTATATAGAGTCAACACCTGCTTGTGTGTTGACTGGTCATCTGCATAAAATATAAGTTCTGTAGGAAAAACAAAAACAGGAAGATTTCCTTCCACTAACTCTGGCTGTCTTTTTTGTTGCTGCATTGGCACTGAATCCTCCTTGCTGCTTCTTGTGTTCTTATGATTTTGTATCCTCAGAGACTTCAGTTTTTGAATCGTTTAAGAATTCCAAAGCATTTTGGCAATTCTAAAGGAAAAAAGGGGAAAAAAAGAGAAAAGGCAAGAAGATTATTTCCATAAGTCTATACTAAACTGAGGCAGTCAACAAAAGTGCAAAAATATAGAACTTGATGTTAGTTATGAATCTACCTTTACTTAAGTTCCTTCAAAAATATGGAAATAGAAAAAAATATTTGCATTGGGTTTCCATCTATTTAACAAACTGCTATAAAATAAATGGATAAGCACTTCTTCAGTGTATCATGGCAGCATTTTGGGGTCCCAGCCCATGACAAGGGCTGCTTATGCTGGGTCTTTGCAACACAAACCAAACAACAACAACAACAAAAAGATACCCCATCCTTGCCTCAGAACACTAACACTTGAGAAAAAACAGAGCAGAAATGAGGAAACACAAAGACATAAGGCAGCAGTAGTCACCATTTAGGCAGGAATCTCACTGCAGTGGTGACCGTCCCGAATGAGGTGTAACACATGAGGTGTCTGCCCACATAGGCACTGAGGTATGTAAAATCCCAGAGATTCAGAGCAAAAGAATGGGGAACACCTCCATGCCTTGTTTAAACTAAACTCTTGTTACAGTTGCATGGTAGTTACAGGCAACGAATTGAAAAATAACTGGGATGAGTAAAACCGAACAGATTTGGGATTTACTATTTGATTAAAAAAATAGGACAAGTTTTCTACCACCACCGTCTCTAACCAAAGTATAACCATGGTCATTCTCCCTCTGCCACCCCCACAGTTTTGTTTTATTTTGAGTGACATTCCAGAAGTAAAACCAGAACCCATGACCCAATCAAGCAACAATCCCAAACGTATTTCATAAAATAAAATTAAGGCCAGACTCCTCAGCACACATACCATTGACTTTACACACTACAGACAGAACAAAGCAAAACAGCTACACACGTTTCTCCCCCCCAAAAACGTCACATTTTACTGTAGCTCCTGTAGGTTAATTATCAGTGTGAGGGTGTCCTTTGAGGCTTAACTTTATTCTATAGTAGAAAATACTAAAAGAACAGTAAGTTCCTACTGACACATTAGCTGTAATTTCCACTTCCAATGAAGCTTTACAAAACAACATCCATTTCAGCTCTTCTCCAGTCCAGTAAACTGATTTGGTTGCACCTTCAGAAATCCAGTTTCTGAACTTCCTAGCAGCGAAGAGCCCTGGCATTATGAACAACCAAACGCAAATGCTTATTTTTGCATTCTAAACATCATGATGTTCACATTTCCAAGCACTAAATATATGTTTCATACTTGAAACATGACACAAGCTTAGGTGTTTACTAGAGTATGCCTGACATGTTTTCAGATTTACAGGTTCTGATTCTTATTCACAAATGAAGCTTTTAAATTTATTTATTTTTTTAAAACAGCAAATCATCCCTGTAAAATTTCAATTCATGTCTCCTATTGGAATGTCTTTCCCCAAGATCCAGTTTCTTTTCAGAGCACAGGTTTGTTTCCACTTCACCGAAATGCTACTAATAATATTCTGAAAACAAATCCCCAATGATAGTGTTCCAAGTTGATGTTCTGCTACCTTATTAAGGAGAGTCTAGAAAAAGCAATAGCTCTTTCAGCGGCAATTTGGGTTCCAAGGGCTTCTTAGAATTTTGGTGAATCCCTTTTGTTTCAGGAGAATTAACAAACTCTGGAATCACTTTGTGTAGCAAGTGTAAGCATTATTTCTTGAACAACTTTACGTACCATTGCAAAGGGAGATTCATTGTTCCATATATTAAGACCGTATGAAGAGCTAACGTGGAAAAACTGCCAGCTCGTAGGAATACAAAATAACTTCTTTTGAAACTTCTCATAGGCAGAAGATTTTTTTTTTTGTTTTTGTTTTTTTTGTTAACAAAAGTTATCTCAAAGCCATATGCAGTAAGCATATGCTAGAATCTTTGGTTCTCATACCTATCTATACTGCATACATTATGTGTAACAGAAATCTAGGCAATCTTTGAAATTAATAAAAGGGGTTTTTTTCCTAATAGGTATTTTAAACTACCATACAACCAACAGCAAACTACTGCTAGGTATTTTTAAGCTACTGTATTTAATAAATTTTAAAAATATTATTAACCATAATTCATATTAATTTGATGCTTTAGTTCTTTATTTAAACACTGCACAGGTTTCATTCTGTTTCCTGGCATCATACCACAACACCAATTTCTTCGCCTCAGCCAGCGGCAAGCGTTTAGATGTCCAAAAACCCCACAAATCACAACATCAGTTGAGGCATGGACCTCTAAGCCTATTAACAGGCTCGTTTTTCTTACGCATCTGTTGAAAGCACAGCACGCAGACCTCCCAGGATTCCACAACTTGCAGGCGGAAAGCCATCAACCTTAAAAAAGTATACCCCGTTATTGCTTCCTTTTCTTATTTAACTTGGCTGGATAAGAAGTTACGGCTCAAACTGGCAAAAGCAAACCTGGCAAACCCAGGCCTACAGTAGGCACGTTTGCTGACACAGCAGCGTTGTTCAGGGTACAAATTTTGAGGTTTCTAAGCAAGCAACCAGCATCCTTTTTGAGGCAATTGTTTTGGCTTAGAAGTCACCTGGCTGGGATGTTTCACCAAGTAGTATCAGTAAAAGTACTCTTCCCAAAGACGACGTTATACACTATACGTACACTGGGGAGATGGGATGGTTTAGCATTAATAGCAGCGTGCCTTTCATACAGCACTCATCAACAAGTACCGGCAAAGACTTTTACAGAGAAAGTCCGTATCATGAGAACTTCTCTGCACAGATTAACCCCAAAGCAGCCCTCCGGTAAGACGTTCAGAGTAAGGCTACGCATCTGGCAGCCTTTGGCACCCCGGTCAGCTCACTTAAAAGCTCTCCTACACCATGCACTGCAGCGCAGCAGACTCCCACCACGATCGCTACGTTTTACGCAGCCAGTAGTCACCACGATTACTTGCAGAACACAAAGGTAAGCACAAACAAACCCGTACAAAAACGAGATCTGTGGTCTCAAGCCTGCGACCCACACCGCGCAGATGGGCGCCTCCTCGTACTGCCAATGAACCTCCCTGTGGGTGCGGGAATCCATCAAATGCAACGCTCATGGCCAGACACGGGCCAAAGCATAACACCTGCACAACGCCGGCTTGCTTTCCAACGCCCTTTGAAGTCCAGGCAAATAATTGTCACTGATATCTTTTTCTTTTTTTTTTTTTTTTTAGCACAATAAGGATCTTTCCCCCCCTGAAGTTACTAAATATATACTGCTGGTGTCACAATAGCACAGATCTGCCAGCATTTCCTTTTAAATCCCTTTATTCATAAATGTAACTCGACAGAGAAAAACACAAAGTGAAATGTAACCTCTCTCTAGGGTCAGAAATAACAGTGACTGTGATTTGTTTTTACTTAACGAGTATCTGCTGAAAAAATAAATCAAGTGAGGAAGTTTTTTGTTCCCATTTTAACTTCCAACAGCCCCATCACCATGGATTCCGAGTGCATTTGTTGGTTGTGGGTTTTTTTCCTAACAACTGCAAATAACTCCACAGAATGTGGTCTGGTAAACACTTTATTCAGAAGATAACCTCTTTACAGTCACAGTCTCCACATTCTCCTTTTAAAAACTGTCTAATCTGTGATCTACTGTTGTTACATCTCATGGTCTACCCTCTAAATCTACACAGTAAGCCTTTCTGTGCTATATACTCAAAAAACCTGATGTTTTTTTGAGCGCGTATTTACAAAATAAGCCACAAAGTCCTCTTCAAAACTCCCTCCTATGTCAAGCAGCGCAATTACTTTACGCTACATGCAAATACAGCGTAGGATCTGACTGAAACGGATCTACAAACATTTATTTTCTCCAAAAGTTTCTGAAGGCCTTAACATGCACTTACGCAAACCAATGTTTAAACTACCTGCAATTATTTGGGAGAGTCATCCAATGAGTAGAGCAGACACCCAGCAGCCAGGGTGACCGGATTCCATTATTGCTAACTCTGTCGCTGACACTCCATGACCTTGAGCAAGTTGGTTAACCTCACCTCAATTGGCTAATCTGTGAAGGCACATATTCTGCGAAGTATTTAAGTAGGCGGACAGTCACATTCAAACTGGCAGAACGACTCTGGATACTTTGCGAAGCCTGGGCCAAACGTGCCACTGTTTACCTCTTTTACAGGGTGACAAGAAATGTTAATTAGTAACTGTCTCCAGGATGCTGTAAAATTAAATCATCTCAGAGCATTACCTATTAGCATGGATGACTACAACAGGCATAAATCATGCTGATACTGACAGCAAGATTTACTGGGACCACATTATTTTTTTTCCTTTATTTTTTCAAATGCTGAAAAGGTGACAATAACAAAAAAGAATTATTCAAATGCAACTAAGAGACGTGCAAAAGCTGGGCAAAACGGAACAGCTGTGCATTGCTTCTGATCCATTCTACCTTACGGCTCAGAAGAATCCTACGGAAGACTTTCAAGGGCACATCTGCTTTAGTCTCTATTTTCTCACTTTCGGGTTGCGTTTAGCGCACTGAACTGGCTGGTTTTTAAACGTGGATCGTGCTCACTAGGGCTACGTGGCCTTCTTCCCTGTCTCAGGCGAGGTCTCAAATGCCAGGATGCCACAGATTAGCTGAGGAAAACGCTCTTTCCTCGGGGAACTACGGGGAGAGGGGCGCTCCCGCTCGCCCCCCGAAGGGCACCCG